CATGATCGGGTGGGCCATGATGAGGTGGAGGAGGGGGTGGAGGCGGTCCATCATGCTCCGGGCCATGACCAGGTGGGCCATGATGAGGAGGCTCTGGTCGGTGATCTCCAGGGTGGCCTCCTGGGGGTTTGCCGTGATGAGGAGGTGGTGGAGGATAGCGGCAGATTGGTAGAGGGTTATGCCCAAAATGAGGCTTTCTGAATGGCGGACCTGGGTGTGTATGGTTTCCCTTCCCATGCTTTGGCGGACAGTCGGTGTGATTACCCTTGGGTCCATGGTGGAATGGGTTCTTGGGCCACTTCCAATGTGGAGGCTTAGGGGGATGGCCATGACCGTGATCGCCATCATAAATCTCTTCATATCCATTAAGCTTGCCGTAAATATGATGAGTAGCTTTACGAGCCTTATCAGCAAGGGCCTTCATGACGCATTTCAAGTTGTCACACTTCTTGACATCCTGATGGAAGTTGTCTGACATGTGTTGAGAGATTGTCTGTTCTTTCTCGGCGATGAGAAAGTGCAATTCTTCGAGTTGCGCTCTCATCCACTGAAGCTCTGCAATGTCTTCCTCAATGTTGTAGTGAGTAGAGTCAGTGAGCCCGCTCACTGGCTGGAGACCTTCTGGGTTGGGGTTCGCCACAATTTCATCCGGAACAGAAAGATCCGTTTCGATGTTGATGATCTCCGTCGCCCCAGTCTGCTTGAATGCCACGGAGAACCCGACATCCCTCGTGGCCTTACCATCAACGAGATCAACAACAAGCTTTAAAAGCTGAGCCTCTGGTTGTCCGTTGACTTTGATGCAGTGAAATTGCCATGATGCAACGACTACACCCTTTCGCTCCGTCGAAATTGAACCTTTCCCAGCCATCACATTGTCCTCGAGTGCTTGCGGAAGAACCTGGCCATTTATCGTAAGATTTCCGAAGCCGCAAGCCGCCTCGGATTTCAACACATCGATTCGAAATCCTAGAACTTGGCTGGCCCATTCATCAGGTGACCTGGAATGGGTAGGCACATCGACACTGACAAGTGCGAAGGAATGGTCTGCAGGTAGTGTTAGCGTGATTAATGTTGAATGGACAGACAGGAATTACCAGCAATGGGTCTAACACTCGCATCGAACTCTTGGACTTCTGCTTCCGGGACGACGAGAGCTGATGCGAGCGCCGGCGCAAGCAACAGAGCAGCCTTCAGAAGGCCGCGCATGGTTATGAGATGCGCCTATGTAGGCGAATCCAAACAGGAACGGAAATATAGCAACTGGTAATATAGACGTTATTGAAGCCTAAACACAGGCAGAACACGAACAGAGAGAATGTCGAGCGAGTGAAAGAAGAGCGAAAGGAGGCCTATGATGATAGATAAGAGAGAATGAATGGATGGCTCTTGGTTTGAGGCTTCGCAATGATTGATGGCATGGGACTCGTAACCCTACAATGGTGGGGAAGCCGGAAAGCGACTGGCTAAACCGCAATTGACCAGACGCTGACGACGCTCTGTGGGACGCAGCAACAGCCACCCAGCCCAGCCAGTAGTGCCCACACTGAGCCCAGCTCTGCAAAGAAGCTTGCCACGGTTCGAGCCATGCGCCGTGGTCTGTGACGATGAAATGCTTCGCAATGCCATCAGATTACGGAGTCGTGAAATGCGTGATTTAGAGTAGACGGCCTGTGTCGCACGCAAGAGACAAATAAGTATCTTCAGCTAAGTGCTACTACCTACGACGATTAGCAGAAATGAAAATAAGGAAAGTATGTAAATAAAAATGATAAAACGGCTATAATTTCCATAATCTCGAGTTGCATCTTGCAATGGTGGAGTGAGGCGTGAGCGTGGCAGAGACGCGGAAGCGTCCTGGGCGGCTGCTCTTCGGGCACGCTAAAATCAAGATGATCTTCCCTTAATCAACTCGAAATAATGTATAATCTCTAACCTCTTCGCGGCCTAAGAGACGTATCTCATCATGCCAATGAGAAAAGTGATCCATGGATTGGTTTCTACCTACCCTACCCTACTCAACTCGACTACCTCCGTAAATAGGGAGTACTTAAGCGAGTCTAGGGGTTCAATGATAGATCATGACTATGCCATCCAAATGATTGTAGATTGCTATTGGACTTCTAACCCCGTCAATGAAAATGTGACCCTCATTACTCTATTTGATGCTGTCCCTACTACTCAAGGATTCTTTTGATGTCCTGAACCTTGAGAACTTGGGTAATTGTCACGTGAACTTTGGTATGCGATCCAGCTAGCCAACCTTATTCTACGGTGACCGAAAGATGCATCTAATCCGCAACTATCAAATCGACTTAAAGTTATAGCAACCTCGACGAACAACCAGCACATCGAAGCCTCCACAATGGTTAGTGTCCCCACGGCTTCGCAGATAAATACTTTGATCCCCCGAAATCAGCGCATCTTCCTGCGTAAGAAAATCTTTACTAACCCATTTCTAGCTTCCTCTTGGACTCCTCACAGCCGCGCAAGGCCATCCCATGCTGGTGGAGCTTAAGAACGGCGAGACGCTCAACGGCCACCTAGTTACATGCGATACGTGGATGAATCTGACTCTGAAGGAGGTTGTGCAGACAAGCCCAGTACGAAAACCCCCGCCTTCACTGATAGCCGCAAGCTTCATGTTTTGGTTGATGGAATGCGCCTCGAGCTAATTTGGGTATTTAGGATGGCGACAAGTTCTTCAGATTACCGGAGGTCTATGTCAAGGGAAACAACGTATGTCTATAAGCTCGGTGGAGGTGTTCAGGGCTAGAGGCTAATGAGGGGCGTAGATCAAATATCTGAGGGTTCCGGATGAGATCATTGATATAGTGAAGGACCAGCAACAGAGTCAACAGAACAGCGGATACAGAGGTGGCCGTGGAGGTGGACAAAGAGGTGATCATGGTGGAAGGGGTGGCGATAGGGGTCGGGGTGGGAGAGGAGGAGGGCGGGGTCGTGGAAGAGGGAGGGGTTCATGAAGACAGCATGAGCGAATGGAGTAGATCGGCGCGGTCGGTATGCCTTTTGAGCGCATGATATATTACGGTGGGAAAACACGAAACTCCCTTTACGGGAGTATGGAAAAACAGTTTTCGAGCTGTTGGCTCGACTAGAGGGGTAGTTAGGTAGAGTGAAGTGCTATGCGATGTGTTGCCCCAAAAGAGCACAACTGCAGCGAAGTTTCAGACTTTCAACCTTTTAGCTGATTAAAAAGCTATAAATCCAAAATAACGGTTAATCTTACTGCTAGCAGATAATTACTTTGTTTTTAGATGGAAATGGAGTTTCGCATCTACACGTGATGTCGGAGTTAAAATCCATAAATTTGCCATTTCTCGCGTCTCCCAAGATACTAAACATCAAGCACCTCAATGCCGGTTACTCGAATACCAATAGACGGACTATGGCGCTGTCTTTGTCCCTCGATCGATGCGATATCAGCTTCCTGCCATGCAATCTCCACCTTGCCTGCTACGAAACCTTCGATTCGACCTGCCACCGGTAGTAAGAGGCTCATCCGTCGAAATTTCCACAGCTCGATCCGCGTTGGACAACGACCCCCTGAAGACGCTACTCTTGGGGGACACTCGATTGATGTAAAGAAAGGGTCTGGGGCTGGGAAACCTTTCTTTACCTCGGGGTCACAATCGGCAATACCAAGTCGAACTCCACAAGAAGCCCTCCCGGATACTCCCGCCTTGTCAGAGGCCCTCGATGCCGAGAAAGCCAACAGAATAGCCAATTCTGAGGCAGAGGAATCACATCAAATACCGAGCAATAACAATGTAGAGCTTCCTCTTCCGCCGCCTATAAGGTTCGCTGGGAATCCTGCGCCAGTGAGAAAGGTCGAGGGGGGTGTTTATAACACCCCTATAAGGGATATTTACGATCGCCTACGGAGGATCAGAAATGAGGAAGGGGCTTTCACGAGTATCTTGGAAATAGTTCAGTTCTTGATAACGGTCAAGGGGGAGAAACTATCTCTATTTCACTACGATGCGCTTATAAGGGCGAATGCTGATGCGGCACATGGGAGTGTGGATGCTGTGAAGTTGTTGTTACAAGAGATGAAGGAAGAGGGGATTGGTGGGGATTCCGGACTCTACCATGCTGTTCTACGAGTAAGTTTGAGGTGATCTATGAATACCTCACTTCTAGTACTAACCGAATGTTTAATAGGTATTAGCTATCCATCCTGATTACCTTCTGCGGAACGAGATTATGCAAGAGATGAAACAACGTTGGTTCGGGCTTTCCCCCGAAGGATGGCATGACCTCGTAACTGGGCTTCTCCGTGATCGACAATATGAAATGGCGATGGACAAACTAGAACAGATGCGATCTGATCAGATATATGTCCAACCATGGCTCTATGATATATTCACATACAACCTTTGCGAGGTAGGAGAGCTCGATGAGGCATTCAAGTTGCTGTGTTACAGATATGAGAAAGATAGAAAGGAGATCTCGCCTCGTCTCTGGTATTACCTCCTAGACAAATTTACTAGCGACTTTCATGTAAGCTTCTTTCTCACATTTAGAGCTTCGCGGGATTAATCCATTTCAAACAGTACCAAGCCACGAGGTACATCTGGAAATTTCGTGTCGGCAATGGCTTTCTGAATCCCCATGACGGGATATGCGTCAATGCACTCAATCTTGCAGCCCGAAACGCTGATCCAGCTCTCGCAACCTCTGCAGTCAGAATCATATCGTCGCGGCGGACTTCTCTCGCCCCATTCCATTATGAAGCACTCCTGGCGGCTTATACCGGATCCGAGGACCTTGACACTGCTTTCCGGATCCTAGGCATCATTCGAAAAGCCGGGTTCGAACCAGACTCGTCCACTACCCGTCCCCTATTTAGCTATCTAATTACTCACAGTCATCTACCCCGCAAAGCATGGATTGTGCTAGAGGATCAATTCAAAGAGGGCCACACCATCCACATTGCAGCTATCAATGTAGTAATCGAAGCATGTATTGCTAAAGGACAACTTGATGACGCTATTAAACTGTACAAAGTACTCCATACGCTCTGTGAAGCTGGGCCGAATCTAGAAACTTTCAATATTCTCCTACAAGGCGCTGCAAAAAAGAGAGCAAAGGACTCGGCTATGTTCCTTGCTGCTGAGATGATAGCACTTGACATCAAGCCGGATCATCTGACCTATGATCGCTTAGTCGTCGTCTGTCTGCACCAAGACGATTACGAGGATGCGTTCAAGTATCTCGAGGAGATGGTGGAGAGTGGCAAAGACAAGTTCGAGGACGGACAGAAGGGATGGTGGCTGAGACGTGGTACTGCTTCTGCTCTGGTGAGGAGATGTGCTTATGCTGGGGATAAGCGGGCCTGGGAGATTCTGGAGCAGATGAAGAAGAAACGTATGGGGGCGTATCTGGTGGAGGACAACGCTAAACAAATCTGGGGGGAGGTCTTTCCAGACACCCAGGAGAAGCGGACACAAACACAGCGGTATACGTGGTAGGCCGTTCTCACAGCAGGACATCCAAAAACTTAAGTATTGACCGAAAATGTATATTGATTCAAACCCTCACCTAACTCCTTTAATGTGTACCTAGACTCCTCATAATAACAAACACCAATTTCGTACTCATCCATCAATCATAATGTGCACCAAGAGACCAGTGCTTATATACAGGTCGTTAATATATAATACAGAAGGGGAAAAAGCAACTGGTAAGCGGCGATGCTAAGCATTCTCCTCATTGAAGCAAATATCCCAATGCCAGGCTCACCACCAGCCCAAGACTTTCTTACCTCACTACCTCGTCTGTGAATTTCAACTCAATCAGTCTTCATACGAACGGAGCAGTATAAAGGCCAGTCTTTTCCTTCTGCTCATCACCACCCAGCTGACTCTTCGCAAGCTCCGACCTACTCCTCAGAACATGTCCGTACTTGAACATCACAAACGGGATGGCCGTCAAGAGCGTCGCGACCAGGGAGAGCAGAAGACCGGCATACTGACTCCCTAGATTGTGGAAGAACTGGCTTGCGAACAGAGGCGCTACTGCCCCGAGCGTGTTTCTCATCAGGCCCTGGCCGGCGATAGCCGACGAGGAATTCTCGCCGTAGCAGTCTGATGTAAAGCTGTACGTCGATTCGAAGATGAAGAATATGCCAAAGGCGATGGGCGCTAGGGCGATCGTGGGCGCGATCCAGGGCAGGTAGCCGTACTGCGTGAAGCTGTAGATGAAGAGTCCGACTGGGAGGAACCCGGCACCGCACATGGCGCCGTAGAGTCGCGATTCCGGCAAGATCTTCCGGTCTCTCGACTTCATGATCGATTGGTACTTGCGGATCTGCAGGAAGTTGGCCGCAAAGCCGATGGTTACGCCGATGCAGAGAGAGATGTAGGGTAGGCCTGCAATGCCCTCGCTGAAGCCGTGTTTCTCCTCGAATGTGATGGGGATCACAGATAGGAAGAGAAAGGTGACGAACCAGGCGAATGCAATCCACAGGCCGAATGCAAATACAACGGGTTCGGTGACGAGCATGTGGACGGCTTTGACTGATGAGCTGTGCAGCATCTGTTTGATGTCTTTGGCTTCCAGATCCATGGGTGCACGGTACCTGTCATCGCCGGTTTGACTTCGGAGTTGTGTCGCTCGTTTGTGCAGCGTCACGCCGCCGCGTGTTTCCTTGAGGAAGAGCGCGATGACTGCAAGGAGGGGAAGGTTTGCCAGTCCCTGGATCCCCTCGATCCATCTCCAGCCGATGGTCTCGTCAATGAACCCTGCATAGATAGGCGCTCCGACCGTTCCCAAGATAGCGACATAGGAGAAGCAGGCCATAGGGATGGCTCGATCATCTGGGCGATAAATGTCGCTGAATGTCCCTCCGACTAGAATGGTTCCAACACAGCCAAAGAGACCTTGGAAAACTCGCATGACGAGGATGGTGGCGATGTTTTTTCCGAGGGCCAGTCCTGCAGGAGGTTAGTATATGAGGTTAATCAAGAGCTCAATATCTTTCCCAAATAGATACGAAATACCAAGGCCAAGCAGACGTACCGATGAACACAATGGTAAACAAAGCGTATGCCCCAACGTATATAACCCTCCTGCCAACGAGCTCGCAGAAGGGAGCCAAGAAGAGAGGTGCCAGGGCACATGCCATATTGAAACAGAACAATCCGAGTTGTCCCAGCTCGCTGGAAACGCCAAAGTCATCGCACATGGAACTGATGCCGCTGCTGTACGACGTCGTAGCCAGACCGATGAACAGGGTCATGAGGCACAGAAGAAGGGTGATGAAGGATTTCCTCGCGCTGCTCCAATTAAATGGATTCTCCCTGTCCCCATCGGCGAACGTGAGCAGCATGTATTCTTGGCCGTCTTGGTGCACGAGTTCCGTCAAGGTGAGCGGCAAGTCGAAGTCCACTTCCTTTAGAGGCTCTCCTTCATGACTGTCAGAATCACTTTCATGAAGGCCTTGCAGAAAAGATCCGCCTGCAATTCTTCCTCTATTTCCCTTGTTCGAATGCTCTTCTTGTTTGGTGACAGGTAGATTTGAAGAGTCTCCATGGTCTGCCGCAAGACCGCCTGCCTCTTCGTGTTTGACTTGAGCATCTGGACCCAGCGTCTGAGGGAGTTCGTTTATTGCCATATCGAGATATATTTTGGAGAAGACAAAGAGTCTGAATCCGAATCTCGATATGGAGTCCCGGCAGGAGGAAGGTCAGCTCCTTTTACAGACTTCCCTACCTCTCCGACATTGCTCCATTGTATGATTTGTGGTCAACAATCACCCACTCCCTCGTCATTGTGCAAACTGTGCAGCCGAAATAGGACCGTACGGGGATATATCGTTAACCATAAGCAAAACTCCATATATTCTGCAGGCAAATTTGAGGCTAGAAATCTTCGACGTCAGTCTCGGGGACGGCAAAGTCCCACTTTGCCGAGTCTGGACGCTAACGAGTCGTGAAGAGGAAGAGGTCGAGGGTTAGAAAAAGGTTCTCTTTTGAGGTTTCATACTATTTATTACTTGGTATATAGCCTTCTTTTCTTGAGTTCAACGTATCTATTTACCTATTCTTTCCTTATACAAAGGAAGGGGTTTTATACAACACATTCTCAACAATGTTCTATTCTTGGCGGGATCTTCCCCTAAAACGCCATCGTCGGGGACTGTCCGGCACTTGACGGGTACACGGATCACTCGGTCAAAATTGCATCCTCGCCTATCAAGCCTCGCCTGATAGTTGGAGCCTCACCCTCACCCTCACCTCACCTCACTGACTCTGCCTACCTATCACTGCCATTGCATGTTGTTCATGGTGGAGGCTAGATGCTTGCGAACTGGGTATTCCTTGGCCTCGCTCCAGGGATAAAAGAATCAGCACTACTGTACCTTATAGATAAGATAAGTGGGATGAACTGCTGAGATGGGCGTCATGGCATGGCATGGCATGTTTATAAGCTTGTTTGATGGAACTACAGTTGATGGCGATGTTGATAATTGGTATGAAACTAGGTATGCATACTAAAGAAAAGCGTTAGGATGTTTGTGAAAATACTAGCGTTATATCTCAATCTTTGTGAGCAGCACGCGAGGCATTAACCCTGTGTACATCTTAAACTGCACATAAAGAGGGGGCAACACATCAGAGCGAGCCCTTGCATGCAATCATCCGTTGCTCGGTGGTTGATGGTTGATGGGTAGATTTTACCATATCAAATGGACGTTTTTGAATACCCAGACCGGAAATCCATAATAAATCCATCTTTTACACTTGTAGGGGGTTCGTCTGATGGGTGGTGGCTCCTCTTTCATTTGGCCAAGAGTTAGATCAAAGAAGAAGTTATAAGAATCCACACTCTTCACCGGGGTCCCGACTTTTCAAATAGACTCGCCTGGATCCTTGTAGAAAATCATACTTAAGAGCCAAAGGACCGGCATTGATTTGACTCCGGAAGACAGGGGTTATCATGCATAAGTCGTGGCTCATAATGGCATAATTCAAATCGCCCAAATCATCAGCCCATCCTCTTCCCATCCTTAGGCCTCCCTCATCCGCCAAGTATCAACCTCACTACCCTCCAGATTCCTCAACCCATACCTCCCCCTCCCCCTATCCTCCCCGCGCA